AACTGTCGACAAGAGTTTGCCTAGGAGGATCAGCCAGTGATCTTTTTGCTCCATTCCGCAGGTCAAGCTACAAAACCAGAATATTGACAAGGCTTTAGTTGCAGAAGAAAAGAAATACATAATTCCACGGAACAACAATGGCTGTCTATTTGGCAAAATAACTAGAGAACCAATAGGGTCAAACTATTAGTTCCTCCAGCCTGAAGCTTCAACTAACATAGTTTGGAATCAAACATTTTGGAAATTGCAAATCAGTGATAACAAAACTTGGAGCCTCTTAATGATATTATTTGAACTATCAACAACAAGCCTCATATATAAATAAAACAAACAGAAAAGCACTGATTACTAACATCTGCAAACATATGTACGTGATTTGAATCCCATTCTGACTAAGCAATGATTACTGGCAGCAGGACTTATACAGGAAACTCAAATGAGAAGTGTTTTCGAGAAGTAGACAGCTGAAAATAGGTTGTAAGTGAGCAATCCCATACTATCGTGGAACAAAATACACACAAGCCCATACAGATTCCAAAAAAATTTCCTCTCATGAAAATGGAACCCAATATGAGAAATGCTCAGAGCACACGCAGCTACAACAATGTGATAAGAGTTAGGACACTACCAGAACATTGCGACATTCTTGATGAGCAGACCTGGAAGGAGGACAAGATGTGGACTCTCGGAAATCATGCTGTCTTAGAGTCCCATCTTCACTAGCACTCCATACAACATTGGGGTTACCAACTTCAACCTACAAAAGGCAGAAGGCATAAATAAGATTAAAAAAACACACAAAAAGATTCAAATAACCCAGAAGAGATCTTACAGCTAGTTTTTTCACTCTTCGTGTGTGACATTGGAACAAGGCTGACGGTGGGATAGCATTATCACCACTAGCTCTCTCACTTAGCCGAGATAAATTAAATAATCTCACCTTCGAAATAAAACACAATGAAAGAAAACGAGGATTAGATAAAGTTCAGGTCCAAAACCAAACAACAGTACAATTCAAGGAGAATTTTGTATACTTCAGCATCTCCAGCTCCAGACAACACAAGCTCATCAGAAGATTCAGGGACAAATTTTGCGCAAAATATGTTTGAGGAATGTCCTGTATCTACTGAATGCAAAAGCTTACGACTAGAGTAACCCCAAATGTTAACCTGCAAAATAAAAAGATTCATCTTCAATACAAGGCAACTCCAAAGTAACATTTGTAGAGACGTCTGTAGATTTTTTTAATGCATATCATCAAAATGATTTAATAATAAATCACTCTCAACTGCGGTAGCTATGAAGCTTGTTCTATTCAGCGGATAAAATAAAACTAGGTTTAGGGGAGATTGAGCATCACACACTCACTACATACACCCAAATTGTTCTTCAGAATGCTCCATCCTAGATGATAACTATATAACACAAAATATCTTTTCATTTCCTACCATAACTTAAGAGGCCCAGAAGTGTGGTTTCGAGTTTTTCCAACATGTCATCTGATTTATAAAAATAGAAAGGCACTAAAAAGTGTGAGACACAGATGTGCTAATGAGTCTGGACACACATGAGGTTGTCTAATTGGTATCCGGAGTATGGTCCACATACCTTTGTATCATCTGATCCAGATATCAACAATGAACCTTCAGAATTCCAGTCAAGAGAATTAACACAACCTTGATGTCCCTGTAGTACACAATAAGCATCTTCAGACAAGTTCAAGACAAAAGGAACCAGAAGGCACATACATCAGGAGTTCCAGCAATTGCAGACGTTTGGTAAGTCACAGCACAAAAACACACAAGTATAGATAAAATAAAATGGATTTCTAGAGATAAGTTAACACTCCGGGAAAAGAAAACCATTGATGTAACCCTAAAACCCCCAATTGATATCAATATCTACCATATACCGAATGCCCTACAGATGCAAAAGATCAAGAATTCTTCAATTATGTGTACTCAGAGAAGCATGAACTCATGGTATGGTCATAGTATACTTTTGGCGCCAATACAAAAACTATTCAAGACATCAAGTCATCACTTATACTGCAACTGTTACAACATGAACAAGTATTGAGTAGATCACTCATTTGCATGAACAGAGATAACATGTAAACAACTTAACCTAGTATGATATACGATGAGAATAAAGTACACATACCAAATTGAATTAAAAGTAAACAAAGAAACAACCTCCAATACTCTTTCCTGAGAAAGCCTTCGGATCAAGGAAGAGTGTATTTGCAGTCTTTGATCAATATCCTACGCAACCTCCAAGAAACTTCATTAGATCCCACAAAAGATAAACAACGCAATAATTCACAGTATTGAAGCCAGCAAGAAAAGGCAAGAAATCCCGCTAATTCCAGCACCCGGAACTAAATAAAAAAACAGGAAAGCCCAAACGAAAACACGAGCTAAAAAAACCCTAGAAATGAAAAACGCTGAAGAGCGAAGAAATTTCCAGGGACGAAAGAACAAGAGGAGAAAGAAGGAAGTTGCTTACGTGACTCGGTTCCATCGACCTTCTCTCGAGAAGATTGTAGGTATTCCCGTCGTGAAAACTCAGATTCTCCATTGGAGATTGAGAAAGCCTTTTTGAATAGTCTAGGTGACAACGATCAGCACCGATTGTTTCTCGGCATTTTGTCTTGTTTCTATCAGACGGGTGAAATAAATATATTGGAAAAGATTTCTTTTTAAAAAAAAGGACGTTGGCGTCACCGTCAGACGCATCATCTTGTACCCGGCGAAAAGGATGATTCGCTGGTTTGCAGGTGTAGGGTATCCAGGTAATCTGATTCCATCTTTGCCGTTGATTTAGAAATGTATCCATCTCGGCCCACCATCAAGGGTTTAAAATTCTACGATACGACGGCTCCGGCCTCTAAAACTTAAGTTAAACTAGGGTGGCCATTGGCCAATTATTCGGAACAAAAATAACATACATTACAGTAATTAAAACAAATAAACTCGACACCAAAATAAAATTGAATGATTATAATTTTTCTGAATTCGAACGAAATTTTATTCATGAAAAAATTCTAAAAATTCGTTGAAAAATAAATATTTTTAGTAATAAAAATCGAAATTGAAAATAAAGGAATTGGATATAAGAAAGAATTCTAAAGTTGAAGTAACCAAATTCAAATATAATCGAATTAAAACTCGGAATGATGTAAAACTACATTAGAATTCTTAATTTGAATAAATTAAACCAAAATAACGATATTAAACATATATAATACGAACTGATAGCACAGATGGAAACTCTTTTAAAGTAGAAAATGAATCAGGACATTGCAAGAAGAAACCGAATCGAAGTAAACAGTTCTGTGCAATTTTCTCAGTGCTATGTGAACATACATTGGTCGAACATAATCGGGCCTTGGCCCAATACATATGGTCTAAATTTTGTTAATGGGCCTAGGCCCATATAATATAAGAAATTCTTTGCCCGTCCATAAATAAGCCCTAAGATGCAGACGGTTGTGCTCATCTGAGCGTCTTCGAGAGAGGAGAGAGTTGTCTCGAACCGAAGGAGAGAAAAAATGGAGGGAGAGCAACTGGACGAGTTTGTGTTGGCGTACTTGAAGAAGAAGGGATTCAAGCTTGCTGCAAAAGGTCTCCAAGAGGATCTTCAGCAGAACAAGGACAAGGAAAGTGGAAGCAACACCAATGGCAGCAGTGTCAGCTCTATCGATTTCCAAAACGATCCCGAGCTCTCCAAGCTCATTCGCTCCTTCTCCCAGTAATTTCTCTTCTTAATCCCTGGTTTTGTTTTAATTACGCTTGAATTTTGGGAGATTGACGTGTTTTGTTACGGAATTCACCTCTTTGAGAGTAGAAGATCGCTTTTTTGTTTTCTGGGTAAGCACCTATTGGAGGTGCATTCTACGAGTGTATACAAGAATTCGTCTATCAAACACCGTTATGTAGACACCAGTGCTCAGCTTGTCATCATGAAGCCATGAGGATGCGAGGATTTAGTTGCAAAGGGTTCTATTAACTTGGGCTATCTCCACGTTATGCGTTACGTTTTATGTTTTACGCGTTGATGACATGTCTGAATGAACTCTTTCACGCCATGAACCAAGTTGCGAGATATCCCGAGCGAACGCTGTTTCCTTGCCGTCTTTGGAAAAACTAGGGTTTTCAGCCGTAATTTATTCATTTAAATGGTCTGTAGGCGTCCCGTTTGGTGGTATTTGTTATTATGTTGAGAGATTGCTGTCTTCTTCCTGTTTTTCTGGGGCTATGGAGGAATCTTTTTCTGGATCTGCCTTTAGAGCGAGCATGATGTTTATTCCTACTGAATTTTGTAATTATTGTTGTGCCCAAAAGGACTCATTTCCTCTTTCAGGAGCAAAGTGTTGAATTAATTTTGGTTAAAATACTGGATGAGGTGACATACGATCTAGGGTTGAGGATTAGTTGAAACAGATAAAGGGCTATTATTCTTTGTCCAATTTATCATATATGGCTTTTCTCTCTTTAGTGCTTCTGTAGAATGGATGGTTTTCACTTATGGGTTATCTGTTTCCAGATCAGAAGATGATCCAGCTCGGTATCGTGAGGGCTACAGCAAACTACGGTCGTGGGCATATGATTCACTGGACCTGTACAAGGTGACTATTGAAACAGTTTATCCTTGATTGAGACTCCTGGCCTTCTTCTAAACTTTAACATTTGTTCTTTTATGTGTAGCATGAATTGCTCCGTGTGATGTATCCTGTGTTTATTCATTCTTACATGGATCTGGTGGCAAAAGGGCATACTCAAGATGGTACTTATCTAAATACGATGGACGATTCTGTGTATCTTTAAGCTTATTATATTGTGGCCTTCAGAAATAGTGGCTGATATTTTACGTTTCTAGCTAGAGCCTTCTTCAATAGCTTTCGTGAAGCTCACGAGATTGTACACTTAAGGGAACTTCAGAAGCTGGAGGGCGTACTTTCTCCATCTCACCTGGAGGTTTGATTCGGCCTTTTATGTATCTGTCGTGCATTAACAGTGAAGAGGATTTTTCTATGAACTTCCTCATGACCTTGTTACTTATCAGGAAATGGAGTTTGCACGTTCTCTTAGACAAAGCAAGGTCAACATCAGAATTTGCCAGGTAGAACTTGGTTCTTCGGATTTTTCTTTTCATGTGTGTGAAAAAGGTCTACTAGCTGCAACAGGCAAATGCTTCAAGATTTTTGTTGGATTAAATGGAACTCTCTGCACCTCTGAATGCAAAGCACTAATACATTTTTTGGAATGCTGCAGTATTCCTATGATCTGTTGCTTCAGTATCTGCACAGGACAGAGTCCACCATCATGCTTGGTATTATCAATGAGCACATCAATTTCCAAGGTAAATGTGTTTAAGCTCTGGTTAATTTGTGATAAAATATGGCAGGTTGAAGTATGAAACTGACTCCACATTTTTGTTCATGTGCTGTATGAATTGCAGTTTACTCTGGACAGCCAACTTCAGCATCTGATGACACAGAAGCTGTAACACTTATTGGTAGTTTTCAGGACACAGCTAATCACATCAACCAAAAAGAAATACAGTGGGGTGTAAGGCTTTTTGCTTGAAGCATCTTTTTATCTTTTGGAAGAAGTACAAATTGAAAACATTTCTCTGGGGAAATGTTTCTTCTCGGTCAGTCATTAGCTTCAACTGCATTGTTCTGTCATAGTTGCTCGAAGACTGTCTAGAAGATCGCTTTGAGAAGACTGGAGGTTTGCCAGCTGATTCTGACAAGGGGCACATAGAAAGCAAAGATGGGGAGATGGATGATAGTAAGGTGAATGTCTACTATGTAGCATCGACGTAGACTTAGATTTGTGACCTTTGGCTTGAAAGGCCCTTATTTTTTTATCAATGGATGCCATAATCAGAAAAGAGCCATAGAAACTGGGAAGCATGGTTCTTCAATAAAAAAGTTGAAGAAGGACAAAGCAGCAAATGCAGCACCAAAAGTCGTGCGTCAGGAGGCCAGCACTGTCTCAACAGCGCCACGAGTGAAACCAGAGCTTTCTTTGCCAGTAATGTATATTCAAAATCCGTTACCTCTTTCTCTGTCAGGATGTATTAAGTTAAAGGATGAAAAGGCAATATCTTGTGGATAACATGTCATACTATAGTTCAATAAAGCAGATCCAGGAATAGAAGCTCTCCAAAGACATATCATGTCAGTGTGTGTTAACCCCTTTTTTATATGTATCAGGTCTACGGATGTCGAACAATCCATTCTTGAAGACTTGAGAAACCGTGTGCAGTTGAGTAGTGTTGCAATGCCATCTGTCAGCTTTTATACATTTATCAATACTCATAACGGGTAATGCTCATATCTCAACCTTTTGATTTTATTGTTATTCATCTGCAACCTGTTGGTCACCCTTTTATTTTTTTCCCAGGTTAAACTGTGTATCTATGTCTCATGATGGTTCTCTGGTTGCTGGTGGGTTCTCCGATTCATCATTGAAGGTGCCCTATCCTTTGATTGTCAATATATATTTTTCTTTCTTGTTTTCTTCTTTTTCTACATGGTGTCTAAGTGTGGATACACTACAGGTCTGGGACATGGCAAAGATTGGACAAGCTGGCAATTGTATGTGTTTTTCAAATCGTGTTGGCAAATTTGTGTTTTTATTTGGAACGCATTGTCATCTGCTATAGACAATGACGTTTCGTGTGATCTGATTTGTGGTAAATTCTTGTGTGAATGTGTTGCAATGAAATGATGTAGACTCTTAAGCTATAAGGTTCAGCTGCTTTGCAGGGTGAAATTGATGCAAGTGATCAAGCTGTGGGAGTTCATGGCACAAAGAGAAATTATACGTTATTCCTTGGTCATTCAGGGCCAGTTTACTCTGCCACTTTCAATCCTTCTGGAGATTTCGTTTTATCCTCTTCAGCAGATACGACAAGTATATCTTTATGTCCATCACTCATGTTCATTTACTCGCTCTTTAGTTCCAATTTTTGCAAGTAATCCACCATCTGTATTTTGATCTGCAGTACGGCTGTGGAGCACAAAACTAAATGCTAATCTTGTGTGTTACAAGGGTCATAACTATCCAGTATGGGATGTGCAGGTACAATTTTTTAGTTGGATATATGTTTCTTTACATTCACCTGAATTTATTGTGGGCTAAGATGTTTATTTGTTTATCGCATGATGCAGTTTAGTCCATTAGGGCACTACTTTGCGAGCTGCTCCCATGATCGCACAGCCAGAATTTGGTCAATGGACAGAATCCAACCACTGCGGATAATGGCTGGGCATTTATCTGATGTTGATGTAAGCCTCTTCCTCTTCCTCTTCCACTCCTTTTTTGTCAAACTTACAATGTTCTGGGCTTTGATCAAGGCATTTCGATTTGTTTACGGTTCATTAATAAACCTTCGCTGTTATGATATGCCCCTTCAAGCTATAACCAATAATGGTGTGACCAAATACTTTGACTTGTTATTGTTTCAGATAACTACCTTCACTACTTTGGTTACAATGAAAACAGTTGGAATTGTTACTGGTTCTCATTGGAGTTTCTTCAGTGTTTAGTTTGCTATGCCTTGAGGTCATAACTTGTCATGGTTTGATTAGAACACTTTTGAACTTTGTTCACCCAGAGATAATTATCTTTGCTGCTTAGTTTGCTATGCCCAGTGAAGTCATAACTTCAACTGCTTGATTACAACAATTTAATGCCATGTATTCAGATACGAGTATCTCCTTTGTCTAAGACTCTAATTGTGTACCTCTTCATGGGTCTTACGTTCTACTTTTGGTTGATGCTCTGATTTCAGTGTGTACAGTGGCATGCCAATTGCAATTATATTGCAACTGGTTCTAGTGATAAGACGGTTAGACTCTGGGATGTCCAAACTGGGGAATGTGTCCGGATTTTCATTGGCCACAGGAGCATGGTTTTATCATTGGCAATGTCACCGGATGGCAGATATATGGCATCTGGGGATGAAGATGGCACCATCATGATGTGGGATCTTTCAACCGCCCGGTGTATCACACCTCTCATGGGACATAACTCCTGTGTGTGGTCTCTCGATTTCAGGTTAGAAATTAAGACGAAACCAAGGGTCATGCGTGACTTTTTTTATAATTCAGTTGTCAACTAATTAGTAAAATTTCAGCAACCCATTACGATTTACTATCAACCTAATATAGGATATTAGTTCATGGTTTATAAATTCATGGGTCCTTTCCCCAACATTGTTTCCATGGTTATTCATAGTCTTGCGCGTGTTAGTAAAGTCAAAACCCATATGTAGCCTGCATTGCAAAACGGATGATCTAGGCAGGTCGGAGTTGGAATCTGGAGTGATCTGCTGCGGTAGTATGTTATGATTCCATTATTACATCCTATTTTTTATCGGTTGGTGGATTATATCCCTTATAGGTCCTATCCCTTACAATCTAGCATTTTATTGTGGGTTTTATCTATGTGCTTAAGGCGATTGATCAGGGCCTAAATATTGGGTCTGGTTCTTCAATGTATTTATGCGAGTTTGCTCCCTTGTGAACTGAGCTCTTTTTCTGTTTCAGCTGCGAGGGCTCTCTCCTGGCTTCTGGGTCAGCTGACTGCACAGTAAAGCTATGGGACATCACCTCGAGCACCAAAATGACAAAAGCGGAAGAGAAGTGAGCTGTTTTTCATTGAACCGGAGTCGTTACTCTCTTTGAATCCTTTTTTTTACTGCAGACGACATGAATGACTCATATACGCTTCTGACAATTTTGACCAGAAGCGGGAACCCAAACAGACTGCGATCTCTCAAGACATTCCCTACCAAATCCACACCAGTTCAGTCTCTTCGAGTAAGTTAGATGAACCCTAATTTGAAACCCAAACAGATTTCGTACTCTTTTTCGAAGAATTTTGTTAGTTGCATCTTTTTCTGGTGCTCTGCCTGAATCAACTAACCCTCAAGAAAAAAGATGCAAAAAAGGACTTGGTTCAGAGTTTCAGGTTATGTAGTTAACTGGTTTTTGTTCGGTACTCTCTCTGTCTGAGGTTTCTATTAGATGTGCTGATCTAGGTTTCTCCATATAGTGACTCACCCCCTAACAAAGTGATCCAGAAAATGGATTCTGCCCAAAATTTCATAGGTTTGGATGCCCAATTCTTATAAACTTGATCTATGCGCATTCTGCTAGGCCTAATGTTGTTGCATAATAACGATTCACCGACGGTAGATTTACATCTCTTTATTTATTTGTTTGTTTCATTTCGGTGCAGTTCTCAAGGAGAAATCTGCTGTTTGCGGCCGGGGCTCTCTCTAAACCAGGCAACTGACCATCCAAAATCACTGTGCCATTCTAAAGGTATGTATGTCCCTTTTGCTGAAACCATTTGTTTGTGTCAGATCTTTGAGCTTTTTCAGCCTCCTCAAGATTACGAACCTGCAGTGCAGCCGACCCCACATAAATTTGGGATTAAGCGATGTTGATGTGCAGTTTATACGGCGGCAGCGGCAGCAGCAGCAGCAGCAGCGGGGACGTCGTTAAGAGAGGAACTGTGGCTGTTTGTGGTGGGACAACGTTAAGACGACTTTGACATGGCGGTTGCAAATATGTCTGCGTTGCCTTTGTTTCTGGTTTGGTGCTTTGGATTTCAACAGTTTGTGTATTGGTTGTTAAGGTTTTTTTTTTGGTCATCTTTCTTCTTCAACTTTTAATTTAGCTGCAAGTCATTTTGGTTATCTATAAAAAAAAGACACACCCTTGACCGGAAACTTATATTATATTGATTGGGACAATTAGACTAAATGCTCGAATCGAATGGGCATATGATATGTTTATCAAAATCTAAAAAATAAAAATGTAATTTCAGGTCATATCCATCAATGTCACTGGATATGGTGCGTATTAACCGCACTGATATATATATATATGTTCATGCGTAATCTTACGCGTAATTAATTACAAAGCAATGCGAAGGAGCAAGAATTTCTGCAGTGTTCCGTGACTTGAGCCCGAACCCGAGCCCTTGGCACATTTGCAAGGGCGAAAACTTAACCACCTGAACCAAATCTTCCTCGGCTTCTCTTTTAAAGGGGGCGAATTTAACATAATACCAACCCGAAAATAACATGGAAAAGTAATGGCGATAACGTAAATAATTCGCTTCGTTTTTAGGTCAAGGGATCGAACTGGTCAAATGGATACAACAATAACATGATCGCCTTAATCCCAAATTTATTCATCAAGCGGACAAGATGGTCTTTAACTTAACATTTGAAACCCAATCCTTGTTCCTCTTGTACAAACATAAATTCAGATATTAAAACATGCTGGGTGAGAGTAGTGTAGGGTTCTCCCAAGAAGCAAATAAATAAAATAAAATAATACAATCTTATAAATATACAGAACAACAACCAACCAATTTTCTCAAATACTTGTATGTTCAAATACGAAACAACCGCGGAACAAACTTATATTATCAGGCTAGGCGGTCGACCACCAAAAAAAACAAGGAAATATATTCACAAGTGCTACCCATTAAATTGTTCCATTCCATCCCAAACTTGTAAGAAATCCAAATTCCCAATGCCATCCCAATTTCGTTCCCAATGTATATATATAGATCCAACACTAACCAACTGGCAAAATATCCAAAATAACCTCCTTTTGCTAAACCTACTTCTGCATATATTCTCCTGCAGATGTGATCATGTGACCAAAATAACCGTATAGTCACAACGTTAAATTTTTTATGATTTCACCAAATGATTAATGTGATATGTAAGGTATGACTATGGTGATCCTTGGTGTGATCACCATAAATTTAACGTTATAACCAATATGACCATACAGTTATTCTGGTCACATGGTCACGTTTGGAGAATGGTATGTGTAGAAGTAATTTTAGCAAAATGAGGGTATTTTGGATAATGCCCCTAACCAACATATTAAAGGGAAACCCGATGCACAAAACATCCGCTGGAAAAAGGGTCTAGGTCCCACCATATTAGATATATATACGAATAACTGACAGTGTATCGATATATTAATTGTAAAATATTCTTCAAGAGATTGTTTCCATGAGTCGAACCCGTGACCTATATATATATATATATATATATGTCATATATATATATATAACAACGACAACACCTCAACCAACATATAATGAAGTTAAATAGGAAAGATTTTATTTTGTTTTTTTTACCTTTTGAATTAATTTCTTATAGATACTCTAGCATATAACAAAGTGTGTAGAGTCCAAATGCAGTAAATAAATATCGGAAACATCATAGTATATGCAATTCAAATACATATTGTGTACCTTTTCCATCTTCTACAACTGGCCGAGGGTGCAGCAAATATTCATATTGATTTGTCTTCGAATTTCAACGGCACCTGAAGAAGAAGAAAAACATAACATAATACAACATATCTACACACACACGCATACACATATACACATGTTTCACACATTCATATTGGTCACAACACATATCTATATGGCCCTCGCAACAAATTAACATCGGTTCGACGCAAATCTGGATCCAATCAGGTACATTTACCAACTGCATATCTGAGATTAAAAATGTTTATACGCATACACATCAATAATATGGATGGACAATTAACACATACACACACACACACACACATATATATATATATACACACAAGGATTGCACCAATAACCGAAATTAAATAAAAGTATAACCCTTCCCATGTGTATGTAACATATCAACTATATAAATGGATTAGCTAGGTCTGTTACAAAATGCTCATATGTCACCCCACACTATGTGCGTCCACCAATATCAATAACAGTACTGAATCATATATATATATATATATATGTATATATATATATATGCATCACCTTTGGAAACTAAGCAATGCTATTCAAAAACGAAAACACATTGATAAAAAAAGGTACAAAGAATGAAAACGATGATGGTATAATGGCGATGTTGTAATGATGATGAAATCATGGGGCTCAAAAGAACAAGCACATGATCATGAGATCCCTAGACTTTTATATGATCAATTTCAATTGGGTGCCAGTATATGTATTCATAGAAAAAAGAGATGCTGTTATATATGAAAATGCATAATTCCCAAGGATGAGGAAGGGACCATGCTATATATATATATATATGTATAATATATCATTTACTATAACTTACTAATTTAAATTACCAATAGCAGTGGACCACTCTCTACCAGTTCTATAATCTCTATGCATATACTGTATATACATATGTATGTATGTATGTAACTAAATCGGGTGCCACTCTTGCCCTTAATTACCCTTAACCTGAATCAACTGTCATATTTAAAATAGTAATTATTCACCATCCTAATAAATTAACTGATACACTATGTGGGCATACAGATACAGCAACAACAATGACAAAAAAAAATGCATATATATATTAATCCCATAAAATGATACTGCGTATAAACTTCACTAACACCATAAATCAATAAATAAAAACCTGAAAAAATTTACATTAACGCATGCATATATACATAATCACATATACATGTATATCTATATGACAAATCTTGATATGTCTATGTACAAAGTCTACAATATTAATCTTCTACAAAGATAAACCACAAAATCTTGCGTTATCCGGGGGTAAAAGTCTCCATAAAACTTCACAAGTCAACTAGATTAGCAACAGTAAGATATAAAAAAATGTTTAGATTACACAACTAAATATATATATATGTGTGTGTGTGTGTATATGCACACACACATATGCGAGTATGTGTGTGTGCATAGATACAAAACACAAAATCTAGCATCGTCAATAAGGAAAAGTCTCAGTGAATTTGACAAGTCAACTATATTAGCAACAATTAATATATCAAAAAACATATGGATCATACATACATACATACATGTGTATACATAGATACAAAACACAAAAGAGCATCATCATCATCATCATCAATGAGGAAGATTCATGGTGGAGAAGATATGACAGAGAGAGAGCGAGCACGCAAAAGCAACAGTATACTGTTTATACAACTTCCCTCTGTGTGCTCGCTCTCTTCTGTCAACTACTTTGACCCCTGAACACACATCCATACATATATATGCACGTGTATATATATATGTACGTGTGTAAATCTTATGGTCACAAAGATGGATAACAAATGTTTAAAAGAACAAAGAAACAGATAAACAAGATCTGCAAATCTCCAAAGCTTCACCGCATGTGAAATGTTTGAAAATAATAAAACCTCATATATATATATATATATATAAATGTGCATGTAGACAAACACTTGGATGCATTTGTGTATATATAGGTTTATTACCATGGAATTATGGCCTAGAAACCGAAAATAGAAACATAAAAGCCGGGAAATATAACACACAAGTACAAGAAAATGTACTGGAAATCAGATCTGAGAAAACAAGACAAGATCTATTTAGGGAAAGTAGCTTGTAAAAAACCCTATCTAGAGTACGGAAGATCGGGAGAGAATGCAAAGCGGATTAGGGTTTTTCCTTTTTCTCCTCGTATATATGTAGATTTAAAAACAAAAAAGAAAAAAATCGAAAACCCAGAAACACGAAGGTGGAGATGAGCTTCGGAATTGGAACAATGAAAGAGAAAAGCTTCAAAATCTTTCTTCTTTTTCTCCATTTCGTTGTTTCTCTCTCTACCATGCAAAGCAAACAGGTGTCGGCCAAGTCTTTCTCTCTCTAGAACAGGGGAAATCGAGATGATTTATAGAAATAAGCGAATAAAACCCTCGCAAATCAGATCCAAAAACTAGATAATCAGATAAGGATTACTTCGAGATTGTGAAATCATTGTCGGGGAAAACCATAGGAAGGAAAAACTGTGAGAGAGAGAGGGGGGGGGGGGGGGGG